CTCTTGAATGACAGGACAGATGAAGTAACCTACCCCAAGAATGCCATCTTCATCCAAGATGGGAACGCCCTCTTTCATTCCCTCACAAACCTGCCTCCTACATTTGGAGCAATCTGCCTGCATGTCCTGGACCAAATGGTGGCCAAGAAGCAGTTCATCTTCTCTACTGATTCCTACCAGCCTGACTCTATCAAGGCACAAGAGAGGCTGAGGCGTGACTTCTCTGAGAAATTCATAGTGAAGGGTACGGCCACTAGGAAACCCCAGGACTTTCTGGACAATGAGGAAAACAATCGGCAGCTCTGCCAGTTGATGCTCAAGGTCTGGGGGAGTGAGGAAGCAACATCCGGGCTGGCGAAGTGCGAGACAGCTGTTCTCATCGTGGAGGGAACAGCTTATCAGCTAACGTCATTAGATGGAGAAGTAAGTTGATTGATCCATACCTAGGAAACTTCAATGAGGTCCTGTGTTAGCAAATTGTTTGCCAATAATATAAGCTACCATACATTTGAGGTGTTCTGTGCTATTTCAGGTTGAGGTCATTGAGATCCATGCCCTCCAGTCAGACCAGGAGGAGACAGACAGCCGGGTTGTGCTCTATCTGCATCATGCTGTCAAGCTGGGCTTCAAGTCGGCAGTAGTGAGGACCCCGGACTCCGACATCTTCTTCATCCTCCTGCATCAGGCTGACACCATCAACCTTGTCATCTACCTTGACACACAGGCAGGCACCATCAGCTGGTCAACGTCACAGAGTTGGCCACCTCTCTTGGGCAGCCGTACTGCAGCACCCTGCTCGGCTATTATGTATTCAGTGATGAGGACTGTACCAGCACCTTCAAGGGCAAGGGCAAGGAGGCACCACTCAAAAAGCTCCAGAAGAATCCCAAATTCCAATAGGCTTTCAGGTTGGTGAATGAATTTTTAGATAATTTGGCATGTTATGTATATTGAATAAAATGCAAGATTTAGAAAGAGCAAACTTTGCACTTATCCCAGCAATCTTTTCACAGTCAGCTCAGCGATGAGGTCGGCTATTATGTATTCAGTGGTGAGGCCGAAAGTGCAGGAGCTGCTGGAGGGCTTCACATGCATGATGTACAGTCAAGCACGTGAGACATCAGTTAACCTGGTCAGGAGCAAGATGCTCAAGAAGATTGCGGAAGAAGACGAGACCCTCAGCTGCAAGTCGAGAGTCGATTTTGCTCGCCTGCCCCCCTGCCAAGACTCACTCATCCCCCACATTCAGAGAGTAAACTATGGCCTGTTACAGACAGGCAGCTGAGCCGATCTTTTGGAGGCCTAAGCCATATGATGAGGGTCAGGGGTGGGAGAAGAAAGAGGGAGGGATTTTGGAGCCTGTCTGGTCTTGTGGACCAATCCTGCCCCCATCTCTCATTGACCTGTTGGCTGCTGGTGTCATCAGTGATGATGATGAGAGGGAAGTGGATGAGGTGGAGACTGATGAGACTGATGACGATGATAATCAGTGAAACAGGGTTTTGATTACTTTTGCCTTTAATTAGCTAGTATTATCAGATTTCAATCTATGTCAGTTAGTGTGATTGCCATCCATTTGATGACCTTGCATTGGATAAGAGGATTTTGCAGGAAACTACTGCAAAACAAAAAAGCAAAAGTTATATTGTTATTAGCCTAAAATGTGTTATTTTCCTGTTTTTCACCAATAAAGAGGGGTTGTACCATGTCAGTGACCTTTCCATGTGATTCCTTGTGTCAAAATTATATGAAAAAGTGGGTTAATTTATCTTTGTATATCGTCTGGTTCAGGAGTTATGAAAATCAGTGTCTTTCGCCACTGGCGCGTACATCAATTCAAGATGGCCGCCAAATGAACCCCATGGGCCATTAGTTGACCTTGGCAACATGAAAAATTCTTAACTAGACACCATTAGGGTCCTAAAAAACAGGTTACAAAAAAATGCCATGCGGGTGCATGGGAACCTATTTCTCCTGCCCGACTAAATGAAGGCTTCATGAGACTCAGACCTAAATGCTAAATGCATCACTGCCCACCCACACCAACACACGCATGCACGCACGCGCGCACACACACACACGCACGCACACACACACACACACACACACGCACACACACACAGAGTATTTTGACAAGACTCTTTTGCATCATATTTCTGTCATATCTCTGCACCAAAAACTTTCAACAAACATTTTAAGACATTCTGGCATTAGTTAAATGGTTGGCTCACCCAAAGAATAACCTTAAATGTTTTTGCATTTCCCTCTAGTTATATGTATCCAGGTAGAAAGTTTTGGTTTGACTTGTCCATGTTTGGAGATATCTGTCTCTCAGATTTCTGCCTCCATCACGTAAGTAAGGGTGTACTGTTTTTTCCTTTTTTTATTTATTTGTTTGTGGTGTTACAATTAAAAGCATCTCTTTCCAGAGACAGTCTCTGTTATGCTGGATGATGCCAAGACTTCACTGTTAACTGTAGGGATGTCCCAAACGAGTATTTTTCTAACGATTAATCTGGCGATTATTTTTTTCGAATAATCGACTAATCTACGATTAATTTTTCAATTAATTTAACGATTATTTTTTCGATTGTCCATTATTTTTCCATTATTTGATTAATGAGGCAATTTAAACAAAATGGAAACCAAAACATTGTTTATTAACATTAACATTTATTGAATCATTAGTATTTCCCCTACCATTATATTAGCTAAAGAGCCTATGTTATTTATCTTATGTCATTTCTGTCTTTACATGCCTTGACATTCCTAAGACACAACATCTCTTGAGACTAACAAGGACACTTGGTGTCTGAGCTTCCCTGGCTCGTAACCTTGGTTTATGAAAAAGTGGGTTAATTTATCTTTGTATGTCATCTGGTTCAGGAGTTATGAAAATCGGCGTCTTTCATCACTGGCGCGGACATCAATTCAAGATTGCCGCCAAATGAACCCCATGGGCCATTAGTTGACCTTGGCAACATGAAAAATTCTTAACTAGACACCATTAGGGTCCTAAAAAAACAGGTTACAAAAACATGCCATGCGGGTGCATGGGAACCTATTTCTCCTGCCCGACTAATTAGGATGAGAAGAACAGAACATGCACACAAGTACACTCACACATACAAACACACACATGCACAAACTGCCATCATACGTTCCCAGTTTTGGTATTCAGCTGATGCATTTATGAAAGTGGATTTACAACATGCACAACACAACCTCCTCTGTCAGCATCTTGTCGTGATTCCACCTGCTTTCCAGCCTCCCAGCCTTGTTTTTGGAGCCAATGAGGAACAATTAAAAGTAAGGCTTTGGCTTCAACTGGCAATGTTACAAAGTACAGACCAAGCCAGAAATCCTACTATCACCTTAAGAACATCAAGGGTATATTATCAAGGATAAAAGGACTCATGTGTCAGCAGGATTTGGAAAAACTTGTCCGTGTGCTTATCTTCAGTAGACTCGACTACTGTAACAGTGTCTCTCCAGACCAATCCTGTCGATCGATCACAGCTGCAGCTGATTTAGAACACTGCTGTTTGAGTCCTCATTAAGACCAAGAAAGTTCTGAGGTCTTTGCACTGACTTCCTGTCTGTCAGAGAATCGATTCCAAAATACTACGGTTGGTTTACAGAGCACTGTATGGTGTCGGGCCCAAACACATTTCTGACCTTGTGCTACACTTTGAACCATCAAGACCTCTCAGGTCTTCAGGGATAGGTCTGCTTTGTGTCCCCTAAACATGGAGAAGCAGCATTTAGTTTCCATGCACTACATATCTGGAACAAAATACTTATCTGTTTGTTGCTGCCTTTTATTAAATCACAAGTGCCTTGTAGCTTTTATCATACCTGTGTTAGCATATTTTAGCTCGTTTTTCTTTTCTATTTTCTAGCTCTTTAATGGTGTTTTTAATTGTATTTAAATGTCCTTTCATTTTGTTTCTTTTGCGATTTTTCTCAATGCTTTTTATGTTTTATGTAAAGCACTTGGAAGTGCTTTGTTGCTGAAATGTGCTATAGAAATAAACTTCGCCCTCACTTCTTTTCTCTCTATCTGTTACACTCATTCAGTCTGCCTACCTCACTAGGGCTCTGTCAAATCCAGGTAAACTGTCTTTCTTCTTCCTCTTCATCTTCTTCTTCTGCTTTATTGAGACATTTTTTAATTGTTGCATCTGGGGCAGCTCTTGCTTTGTTTATTCTTGCCTTAAAAAACTGCCAAAAGAATTAAATATTGAGTGCTAAGTCATGCAGTATATCTAGCTAATGATAAGCATGCAAACAAATGGGCTGCCACACAGACAACACAACAGAGCTGAGCAAAACCTCCAGTCCAGGACAGAAACACTCCTGACTCCAGTCCAGGACAGAAACACTCCTGACACTCCTGAAACTACACATATATTTTACATGGCAGCAAGAGGCCCACTCTATACACAAATAATGCATTCTAGCTTTATGAGTTTATTACATGGACTACAATAAAACATCATTAAAGTGGGCTGGTGTAGGCTTGCATTTTGAAAGCATGAATGTATTCATGTGTGTGTGTGTGTGTGTGTCCCATGCCGGTTTAACTCATTATGACAAACTCTTTAAACGTATGAAAGAGCACATTTTTCAATAAAACTTTTACAACTTAATGTTTATCTGGTGACGAATTTAGCCTATAAAAGTTTATTAAAAAAAAAAAACATAATCCCTATCTGGGATTATATGGCGAACTGTGGATCCAAGCGGAATGGCTATATACTTTTGCGGGCTATTAATGTATTGATTTTGAAAAGATTTGGGTGTTATGTTCTCTCAGTGGAGGCTGCAATGTCAGATGTGAGTGTTGACGGACTTGTGTGAATATGTCACAGAGTCTAGCATGCAGCATGTCCAGTCTGCAGGACGCTCCTTTGACCGTACAGCTGTCACAACTGCATCTCTGACACTTTGCACAGCAGAGCACTTAGAAACATGATGCACTCAACATCATCACTCACCATTTCTAGGCTTTCTTGGACGTTTGCATTTCCGAAAAGATGATGAAGACAAGAAAATCAAGGAGGTCCCCAAATTAGACACAGTAAAGGAACGAGTCTGCTAGGTCCTCCAGTCCCACATCACTTGCTCTGATCTCCCGAGGTGGAAAGGAGAAGCGGTCCGTGAGGACCGTCCGGTATATCTCTCAGCTGCCGGGACTGTGGAGTTTTTTTCTCTCTCAGTGTCGGTTAGTGTTCCCGTTCTGATCGCTGTATCCGTCCGCTCCCTGTCAGTCCGCGGTGGCTCCTCTCTGACAGCGCAGCATCCCTAAGATTTCCTCCATATACACCCTCGAGAGCTATCGGCCACATTCGGCAGTTTCCGGAAAAACTAAAGCGTAGTGTAACGCTGTCAATGACGCCCGTGCTTCTGTTGCAAATTTCCGAGTCTCTATAAATCTTATTTCTAATCCGATTAACAATATTGTAATGAGATCAAATGGTGCAAATAAAGATACAAGGTTGCGACACTGAGTAGGCTACAAGTTAAACTTTTCAGGACATCTGAGGTTTCAGCCCCAAATGTTTTATGAATACCCCCGGATCTAAATGTAGCCTATGTAGCCTCTCTCTCTCTCTCTCTCTCTCTCTCTCTCTCTCTCTCTCTCTCTATATATATATATATATATATATGTATATATAGATACACAAATACTCAAGTACAAGCACCTCAAAATCCTCTAAATTTTAATTATAGCAGTTGCAAAGTATTCTGTTCTTACTTAATACTAATTACTAATGACTACTACTAAAGCCACAATTCATAATTAATCATTAAATACAATTTAAAAAACAGTTTTAAGGGTAAATAAGATGGCAAAGTAGGCCTATATAAACAACAACAACAACAACATCAAAATAGAGCTTGTTCATTGTTCATAAAAAACAGAGGTCTGGGCTAAGTCCTAGAAACGGGTTTTCACCCCACTGAGGTCTTACATTTAGCTTCCCTGGGATTTATGCTTCTATTTATCTAATTTTAACAATACACAGGGTTCCTGCAGATCCTTAAAAAGTATTAAAAAGCACTGAGTTCATTAATCTAAAAAGTAAGACCTTAATTGTTATTAAAATGTCATTCAAAAGTCTTAAATATGTTCAGACATGAAATGTAGGATTTAACGAATTAATTATAAATATATATGTATATTTGAGATTCTATTTTATGTATATATGTACGAGTGTGTGTGTGTGTGTGTGTGTGTGTGTGTGTGTGCGTACTGTATATATGCATCTGGAAAACACCAGGTATTCCCAGTTGTGCTGATATTCACTACAATAGCACAATCTCAAACTTGATATTGTTTTTACACAACAGTTCCACGAGCACCATGTGCTTAACAGTAATAGTCAGCTACAGATTATGATTTGTTTGCTCATTTAGATATTATTTTATTTACATAATCATTTATTTGGCTCCGACTACACAAATAGTTAATCCATTGATGGGACTGAAATGTTGCCTGGCATGCATAAACATTTGTGCACATTAGCATTAGTTAGCTACTTTGTGTAAGCTAGGCCTAAAGCCTGATTCATGGGCACTCAACACTTCGAATACATGTCATTTGACAGAATTTCCAGAACAGTCCACTACTTTCAACCTGTGCTTAAGCAAAAAAAAAAAATGTCCATGGTAACCAGAAGTCACCTGCGTTTTCTTTTACTCTCTGAGTCTATTTGTGTCACCTTTAATAAAGTATAATCTGGACAGACAGCTGTTTCAATGAAAAAAATATCCTGCTGTATACGTTTTTAACTTACAAACCATATCTGCACTGATTGATCAGCTCCCAGTCTGTCTGTGTGCAGCAGATCCCCCTTACTCACTACTGTGGGCAGGGACATAAAATCAATTAGGCTATTCAATAAATATAAACACTGTTTATTTCTTCCTGTAAAGATGACATGTGAA